ATGATGTAGAAGAAACAGCAAACTCTGGTCAGTAGACTTGTGTTAAAATGCTAGTGTTGTTGAAATCCAGTTTGGTGAATCAGAGAGTTAGAGAGAGAAAATGCTGACTCTTGACTTGACTGAGTACAGAACACTGAGTTCTGAATGAAAAAATTATTCATGAAAAAAGAGAGAAAGCGAGGGCCAAATAGGGATGTCCCTGAGTAAAGGTTGCAGTCCTTTTTGTCTGGTTTCCTCTATTCCAGCAGGATTAGAGGAATGCCAGAGAGAGAGAAAGAGAGGAAAGGATGGATGGAAGCTTCAACTGTGATGGTTTTAAGGTTCTTGAAAGTAGTAGAAGATGGAGGAGCTTTAGAGTCCAAGGTTGCTTGTTGAACAGAATGTGCTTTTATTGTTGTTTGTGTTGATTCTGAGAGTAATTATACAAGCCATGGTGTTAAATGTGAGGAAGAGAACAAATTACCACCAGGATGCTGCTGAGGTCTAAAGATAATTTCTTAAGTCTTTCTGCCTATACTGTATGTCAAAAAAAAAAAAAAAGAATTGATTCCCTGAAAAGTGTGACAACTATGACTCTTGTGCTATAATTGCTATTTGTTTGAGCATCCTGAATAGCCCAACATGACAACATTGGCTCAACCAATAGTGTGAGTTTGAGGGCGGGCAGAACTAACCTTTTTTTTTTTAACAATGACAGACAGGAGGAGTGTATAGGAAGCCTATTTGACACCAAGGAATAGTTCACACAAAATTTGAAATTAGCTGAAAATGTACTCAGTCTCAGGCCATCCAAGATGTAGAGTTTGTTTCTTCATCGGAACAAATTAGAAATTTAGCATTACATAACTTGCTCACCAATGGATCCTCTGCAGTGTATGGGTGCCGTCAGAATGACGGTCCAAACACCTGATCAAAACATCCCGATAATTATTAAAAATTATTAATTGCACTCTTCATCTTTGATATCTGAACAGGGTCAGAACATTCATTCACAGATTTGCTATACCACTGCCTGCAGCGTCTTCACACACAGACGAAACTTAGAGAAGTGTGACATAATATACCTCTGTAAATAAAAACAACTTTAATTCATGTCTCGCACACTTTAATGCCCTTTGAATGGAACATATGCATTCCTTTCGGACTGGAATCATGGGAGAATATCCAGTGATGTCCACTTCACAGGGTACTTACGGTCGAATAGAACATATGGCTGAAGTGATAAGAGGAACATACAAAATGGGGGGGGGGGCTTGGTCCACGAGGGCTGGAATTGAGAGCAACTGGGTTAGAGAGAGGTCAAAATGATCTTGCAAAATTCAATTATGACTATTTTGTTGCAAGAATCGTTTATTATAATTATATATAACTGGGAAAAAAAATAGAGCATGGTCCCTTTAAAACAATTACATTACTAATAATTTTTATTTAATGTTAATCTTTTAAAGTTTAGTTTAACTAGTTTTTTTTCTGGAATGTTTTTGATAAGTTTTAAACCGATTTGTTTATACTAAATAATTGTTTTGTTCTCCATAATCTGAAGTGTGCAGGTGTGCCAGAGGTATTTTCTCCCTAGAGATGGCTTTGATTTACATTTGAGTAAAGCCAGATTAAAGTTCTGACACATTGGTTGAAATGTAAGATGACTGGCTTTGGTTCATGCGGTTCTTCTCTTTGCTCCACATGATTTGTTGAGCCCCACAACAGAAACATATGCCTGAGGTAAATCACAGTGGTGTGGTCCTGTCAAACCCTATACAAAGCCATGTCGTTACTGTATATGAAAACAAGCTCTGGAAATATGTGCCGACCAATTATAAAGCTGAACCGGAAGAAAAGGTCCTCTCTGTATTGGCACGTAAACGCAAGTTTTCAGCTGAAATACTTAAGAATATTAATAAAAAAGGTGAATATGGTGCTCCTGTATGGAGTATTGTATTTCTGTAATTATTTGCAATGAAACCTGTTAGCAGTTTCATCTCTTCCTGTCTTAGCATTTGGGGATTTGGAGAATTAAACTAGTTGAAGAGCCAAATGTGAGACAAAATGCCAGTTGGCCAGTAACTTTTTTAGGAGCTCCACGTAACATGGGTTAAAAATGATAACCTGACCATCACTGAAGAGCGAAGATGACTGTGCATCTAAATGCATGTCTAAAAACTTTCTAGCTACATTTCTAGAAAATATTCTAGTTACTTTTAGTGTAACTTTTCAATGTCAAATTTTGCCTATTTTGTCTAAGATGCCTAAAATATTATTTAAACAGAGCTCCATGTGGATGCACATCCTGTATATGTAATATCAGAAACTGTGTTTGGTAAAGATGGTTCACTCAGTATATATTATATATAATTATAATAAATATATAATTATAATGTATTCATGTAGTAATGTATTAATATAGTTTTCAAATGGTATTTATCTATTAATTTATTTATTATTATATAACTAAATTAATTCAGTTTGCACTTTCATGGCTGGTATATTTTCTCATTCCATTATATATTATTCATTTTATTAAATTAATGCAAAGTACCCACCATTGGTAGATTTTCAGACCCTCTTTACATACATTGTTGATGACATTACTTTGGTATTATATTTGATAGTTAATACACTATTGTTCCTTGTCACGTGTGTATAATAATGCAAAAGCTTGCATTCAGGGTGCAAATTACAGGGGGGTTTGGGGGGGTCTGACCCCCCTAAAGAAGGCTTTAACCGCCCTGATGGACGTCAAAACTAGATGTAGGGAGGGTCAGATAAAAGTAGGCTAGCCTACACATAATATGGAGATTTACTTGTAAATATTAATATGTATTTCTAAAGCTTAATGCTGTTGAACTGAATTTACGGAGCAAACTATTTGCTAAAATAACCACAACATTAACAGCAACGCTAAAATACAAGCGTTTGTTAATGTTAGTCAGATGCGCATGAAAGTTGCACGTGTTACTAAAACAAACACTGCGTGTTTTCTTTCAGAATCATCATTGGCGTTTACTTACAGTAAAAATTAAGATAAAGTGTGAATAATTACATTTTAGTAGGCCTGTCGCAATAATCAATATATCAACTTATCGTGCAATATATGTACATGACCTCAATCATTTTTGGTGACGCAATATATCGCCCATTATATTTACTCAAAAATGAATGTCACCATGTTTTGTACATTTCACTTGCACCTGTGTCTTTTGCAGCTTCTCGTACATAATGTGGTGTAGTCATGAGGCGCTAGTTCAAATTTAAAAAATGCCTCTACAAAAAAAGTTTCATCTGCAGATATGGTCTTGTTTAGGGATCTGTGATTTGTGCATATGGACATCTGACTGCTAAGTAGTGATTGTGTTTTTCAGCAATAGTGTGCACCCTTAATTTACAGAGAAAAGAAGGTCAGGGAAAAATCTGTAGATGGAAAAATCTCCATACAAGTTTTTTTTTTTGCATTTTTCTTTTTTTCTACTTGTTATTTTGCACTTTTTGTTAGAAAATGTTTATTTATTTTTTTTAAGGAATCTAATATTTTGATACTTAATTTCCATGATCTATATGTTCTTAAAAATTTAAAGTTTTTTTGTCATTTGGAAGTGTGTTGGCCTTCTTGCATTATTATGCTGTTACATTATGATTATATATTCAGTGGCATAAAATGGTCTTTAAAATGACAATAATATCGCTTATCGCAATTATTTCTGGGGCAATATATCGCACAACAAAAAGTTGTTATCGTGACAGGCCTACATTTTAGACACATTGTCAGTAATTTCGCCAATAAAAATAAGGAGAACTGTTGTGCATCTCTGATCAACACACAGAATCCACGTTTTTAAACGAATCGACTGAATCAATGATTCAGTCAGCCATTCATAAAGGCAGTCACTTGCTTTGTTTCTGAATGAATCAGCCATTTGAACGAATCGATTGAATGAATGACTGAATCATTCACTTATTAAGACATGGATTTGTCACCATCTACTGGTGCTTTTAGTTTTATATTTAGAGTATTGTTTCTTTTGAAAAATAATTTTATATTTCACTAGCCTATTTATTTGTATTTTTGTATGTTGAATTAAAATATTTCTTTCTAAAGCTACTTTTTTTGTAATGTCTATGCAGTGTTTTTTTTAATTAACAAAATAATGATTATCTTTAATAACAACTTTATCTGTAATTAATCGGCACATGATGTGCATGTTAATTAATTACATTTATTAATTTGAGATTATTTTGATTAATTAATTGGCACATTATGTAATTAATTAGATTTTTTTTTTTAAAAACAATCACTTGACAGCTCTGTTTAGAACATAAGAAATACACCCCCTCCCAATCTTCTGACCCCCCGATGGTCAGTGTGTAATTCGCACCCTGCTTGCATTCACACACACACACACACACAGTCTGACATTAACAATCACACACTCAGCAGTAGGCATGATTAAATTGGACTCTCAGACTGCCAATATTGAGGTCGGAATGTTAATGAGAGTTCTCTATGGGGACACATAGAGAAAGAGAAATGGAGAGAGAGCGCAGCATGTTGTGGGCTTCGGCCTGTGGTTTCCATATACAGCTCCTCAGAGCCATCGATAAAGAGATAATCAAGGATACTGAGGGAGAGGAAGAGAGAGAGAGAGAGAGAGAGAGAGCGAGAGAGAGAGATAGAGAGAGAGAGAGAGAGATGCATGCTTAATTATGTAATATAGGTGCTGAGTCAGAGGCTGAGTCTGTCTTTAGCTACTGCACTCTGCACACAGACATTACTCTGCTCAACTCTGCCACACGCTGTAAGACTGAAGTACTGCAGATTGAACAGTAAACACTATGAAAGAAGCAGAGTTCTTTACCTGGGCACCAAAGTGTTTGAGTTACGGAGCATATGTCCCTTTAATATATAAAGTAGTGCAAAAGGCTCCATCTAAACCTGCAAATAATTAATTAGAAAGTAAAGCACATTAAGATCAACTAAAATCTCTTTTCCCTGTTTTCTCCTGCAGAAAAGCTCTACAATTCGACCGGACGTGAGCTGCGAAGAGCACTGTTCTCTCTCAAGCAAATCTTTCAGGTAAGCTTTCCCACTTCGACTTAGTATTAGCGCAGAGCACCTGCTAATGTCTTTTTGGTCAGCAGTACGTGTGTGTGTCTGTGTTTTCATGCATGTTTTAGCTGTACGGCTATGCTGGAATTTCTCTCACTGCACAGAAATTGCCAGATACCAAAGCTGGAGTCTCCATCATTGATTGATTTTAAAGCTGTGCTGGAAGCTACTGTTTTTCCTCTAGAGGAACCATGTCTGACCACCGCATTGTGTGTGTGTATGAGATTAAATGACTTTCCACTAAAGTTTAAGCATTTTTAATGGCAAAAGCACCTGCAACTTTCACACCTGTCAACAAGTGTGTAATTTAAACCTGCCAGAGGCTATGCATAAACACACAAAAACTCTGGAGCAGAAACAAACATAAATGCTAGCTTTGTCAAAGCACATGCACAACTAGCTTGTCAGAGTAGTACAATCGACTCATAATGCAAAGTAGTTAAACAACAGTGACGCTTTTTTAACACTAAAAACTAATTAGCTACAATACAAAATGCTAACAAAAAATGGCTAACTACATTTGAAGCTAGATGAGGGTGCATTAAATAACTTATAATTTAATCTGTGCTTTATTATCTGGCACAAAATTTATGATTTTGAATTAATTAACTGTGTTATAACTAGGGTTGGGTACCTATGTAACCGGTATGTACTAGAACCGAGTCAGAACGCAGATTTCGGTGCCTCATTTCGGTGCCACTTTCATGCTTGAGCGATCGATTTAAATATTTGTTCTCTGAAACGGACGTAAGGATCACCGGCACCGCACGTGAAAAATAATTTCTCGACTGAGAAAATTCACGAACGCAAGTCGGAAAGCTCTAATAATACAAATCCAACACATCTTTGTAGTAACGCGAGTGTCCATGTTGTTTTCACATTCCGACTTAAAAGCACAACTCTGGAAATGAGAGCATCCGAGGAGCACGTGAATGCAGTAATTACACTTGCCCTGATGGCAGCAGGTAGCCTTCCGTTAACTAAGCTAAACATGCTTACATTAAAATGCCTAAAGCTAGGGTGACCATACGTCCTCTTTTCCCCGGACATGTCCTCTTTTTGGACCTACAAAAATGCGTCCGGCCGGGATTTCTTAATTGCCCAAAATGTCCGGGATTCGGCTGTTTTCTTAATCTCGCTCCCGCTGAATCTCTGACCATTGCCGCCTGCTCCCGCAACATGTGTTTCGCTCCCGCGATTTTCGTGTCCACTCTTTAAACATTCTAATATTGTATATTTTGGCACATCAGAGAGCCGCTCTCAGGATGAATGACCTGAGAATAACCTTCCAACACTTGCCTTATCTATTCTTTTTCTGTTCTATTGACTTGTTTTATTTTTATTTAAAAAATGACCCTCTAACACTAGCATTCCCTATTCTTTTTCTATTCTTTCTACTTGTTTTCTTTTTATTTATTATAAAAACAAAATAAGCAAAGAAACAAAAAAAACCTGGCTACTTATACTGTTAGGCGAAGCCCCGCCCACGAACCCGCCCCCTACTGTCCTCTTTTTGAAAAACTAAAATATGGTCACCCTACTAAAGCTAAACTTCCCTTGCAATGACTTGCAATGAGAAGCGTATCTAAACCTGTTGTCCAACAAAAGAGAACACTATAACGTTTTTACTCCACAGCTGCTTCCTTTTCTTCTTGTCACAGAATGAGGCAGACAATATGTTCTATACTGTAAAAAGCATATGGTAAAAATCGGTACCATTTTAAAAGTATCGATTTGGCACCGGTATCGTAAAAAACCCAAACGAAACCCAACCCTAGTTATAACATTAAATCTAAACAGAATTTGCTAATAAATGCAACTAAACAACTATTACATGCACACTGTTTCATGGAGAGAAATTATAGGAGACTGTTTTTTCTTCATCAAAGTAAAAAATTATAATAATAGTAATAAAGGCAATTGTGAGATAAAGCTAGAAATAAGAAATAAAGTCACTTTCTACGCATTGAAAAACATGGCATTATCTACATTTTTGCAAAACTCCAAAAAATGTAAATGCATACAATTCTCTGCAGTTCCCAGCTGAAATGAACACTAGTGGAAGTAAAACACACACAATTTTTTTTTTATTCCTTTTCACACAAATTGTAATTACTGAGACAGATTACGATTAATAAAGACTTATATTCCCACAGTTCCTTCCACAATACTATGCTATGACCTGAAAACACCTTTTTTTACCATAGTGCATTATTTGTAAATTGAAAATTTTGGCGTAATCACATAACCAGATCTATGTCTTTTCCAATGTAGTAAACTTGCTTGGTAGCTCACCCGGTACAGCATTGCAATTGAGATGCAGAGAGCTTGGGCACGAATGCCATGTAATACAAGTCGCAATAATGCCTCAAAAGAGCTCAAAGACTTGCAGAAGCAAGCTAAAATATCATGGTTATTTCAGCAAATGCTTTTTCATCTCATTGGTTAGGTTTAGGGTAGGGTTTATGTGGGGTGTTATTTTCAAATGTATTGGAGCATTAACCTTTTAGCGCCACTCAGCGGACATTTAATTTGCAAATTACTTTTGCAAATTTGCTTTTTACACCACTCACTGGACATTTCACTTTGAAAATGATGCAATATGATTTTGCAGAAATGACGCCACATGCACATTTTTCCAATGCGCTTGGGTTTATTGTGATACACTGTAAAGATATAAAGTTGCAATCTTAAGATTATGAGTGATATAAAGTCACAATTATGAGAAATAAAGTCACACATACATGAAACAAAGAAAAAAAATGTGACGAAGTCAAATTATAAAATATAAAGTCACAGTTGTGAGATACAAAGCTGCAATAGCCAAATTTAAAGTCATAGTTATGAGACATGAAGTTGCATTTGTGAGATATTATAGTCAAACTGTGAGATAAGTCACAATTACAAAAAGGCACAATTACAATAAACAAAGTCAAAAATTGTGAGACATACTGTATAGTAATGTCAGTTTGTGAGATATATACGTAGTTGCAATTGTGAGAACTAAAATCACAATTCTGATTCAAAAAGCCACATATTTTTTAAAATATATTTAAATAGCAGTATGGTGCAGCTATTTTTGGAAAAAATTGTTTGCTACTGTAAAAGCTACACTGTTTTGAAAACAGCTGCTGAAAATTGTAGTTAAGTTAGTAGCAGTGCTACTTTTAGTTAGTTTCTCCCACAACACTGACACAGACACACACACACAGCCAGGCCTTGGACAGAATTCCAGTTCAGCAGTTCCAGTTATTGAAACCGATCTCATAATCCTCCTAATCTCCTTGCATTTTAATCTAAGATGTATGAATCACTTGCGAACACTGTGTATGAGCAGTCGTCTGATTGATCGCTCGACTCAGGAAGAATTATGGCAAGAATTGCATTCTTCATGCTGTGGTGCATTTAAGTATATTTTGCATGTGCAGTAAAGTGCATTTCTCCAGACGTGGGCATACTGTGTCATTATAGACTGACTGTGCCAATATAAATTCCACAAATCCAACACCCCTAATCATTTTCAGATCAGCCAATAGGGTGTGTCCATGCGAATCCCAAAGCAGAAGAAATAAGCTGGAGCCCGGTTTACTTTCACACATGACACACAGGATGGAGGAAGGATGCATGCTGTAATCGGAGAATTAGTGAAGTGTGCCCAGCCGTGGGCCTGTGTGTGTGTGTGAGTGCCATAAATCAAGCGGAGACACGTACTGCTCCTCACATCTCTTATACAGTGTGTTTAATGGGCTCTTTACTGCTGGGAAGCAGTCGATCAGCACTTAGCAACCCACATTTACTCAAGCCCAAACACAAAGGGTTTCCATGGGCAGGAATTGAAAAGGATTTAAAACTGTATATGCTCAGTGAGGGAGATCTGGAGGAACTCTATAGGGGCGAGTCCAAGACAGCTCTATAAAACAACACTCTGCAGAAGTGCATTTAAATATCTCTGCAGCTTAGCTTTAAAATAAATCATATAGTAGGTTTTATAAAATACAGTAATTATATGGAATATACTATAAATATAAAATAATTATATTACATTGCTATATTTTATTTGAATTTTAGAATTGTATTAAATTTAATAGACTAATTTTAAAATGTAAATAAAATGTAATAGATTTAAACTTTTGAATTAATTGTTTTCTTTTCTTTTTTATTTGACCTTTCAATCGTTCATAAAATCATGTTGGGATACTTTCGGGTTATTTTAAGAAGTTCCCAGCACCTGGTGGACAGAGACATTGCAGAACAATGCAACATGTGTTGGTGTAGGAGTGGGAACCTTTAGGGAGCGTAGAGAAAATGCTGACAGAGTGTTTGACAGATAGGAATTCATAAGCTTCAGTTTGGGCCATGTCAGTTTGAAATCAAGCCTGTTTCTTAAAACACAACTGGACCTTTCTGCAATTCTCTTTGGTCACCCTGAAAGTGTTTTGCAATGAAACAAAACATCTGTGGTTGCATTGTGGAGTGTGATTTTCTTGATGATTAATTTCTGTAGGATGTTTAATTAATTTTGAGATGCATCAATGATTTTTTTTTTTTCACAACCTGTGTTGTGTCTGTGTAGATTCTGTGTTTGTTCTGGATATTTCATACATACATTAAGTTTCTGTTGTTTGTGTTCCTCTTGCAGGATGATAAAGATCTGGTGCATGAGTTTGTGATGGCTGAAGGACTCACATGTCTTATTAAAGTGGGAGCTGAGGCTGACCAAAACTACCAGAACTACATCCTTAGAGGTACCACACTACCAAACATGACATATGTAGAATGTACAGTATGTGATTCAAATTTTCAAACAACTACCAAACATATAAAACAAGTACTTTGGATGTTCAAAGGTTTGGGAACAGTAAGTCTTTTTTAAAAATAAATGAATACTTTTATTCAGCAAGGATGTGTTACACTGATAAACAGTGACAGTAAAAACATGTATAATGTTACAAAAGATTTATATTTCAAATAAACGCTGTTTTACAAACTTTCTGTTCATCAAAAAATCACGGGAAAAAAACGTATCACCATTCCCACAAAAATATTAAGCAGCACAAGTGTTTTCAACATCAAATGTTTCTGGAGTGGCAAATCGGCATATTAGAATGATTTCTGAAAGATCACGTGACACTGATGACTGGAGTAATGACTGATGAAAATTCTGCTTTGCATCACAGGAATAAATTACATTCTAAAATATATTCAAATAGAAAACAGTTATTTTAAATTGAAATAATATTTTACAATATTGCTGTTTTAATCAAATAAATGCAGCCTTAATGAACATAAGAGACTTTCAAAGACATTAACAATTATACATTTGTACTGTTAAATGACCTGCTGAATCAGAATTTTGAATTGATTTAATGAAATGGACAGTTTCAACTAATTCATGGACATTAATCAAACTAACCAACACTTTGAATTATATTTATTGATTTATTCATCTCTGTCTTAACACTCCCATACTAGCGAGACTCAACAAGGAAATACTGAAAATTATTCGAAAAACTGCATTTAAAAATCCTATTAATATTATACCCCAGCAAAATAATTGCAAATATATTATTAAAGAATTTGTTATATTGCCCCAAATTAATTTATAGCCAAAGCAGAATTTTAAGTATAGAACAGTAATAAAATGAGTAGATTTAAAATTATAATTGTAAATGCTTTCAGATATATGGTTATGAATCAGTGCTCCCTGAAGTCTGTGTTGTGACTGACTCTTCGTTTTTCATTATACCATATTAATATTGTAACTCCCAGTGATGTCACTACAAACCACAAACACTATACAACAATAACAAACACCTATACATCCAAACCACAGCACAAGGAGTTAAATTACTACAACACAATAAATCTTAAAGTTGGCCACCAAACATGTTCCACCCAGAACTATTAATTGGTAATAAAGCATCAGAATGTCTTCTTTTCCTCAGAGGGATGGGCGGCAGGGGGGTTGTTGAAATTCGGTTTATGATCTGCAACATCCTGCCAGGCCTTTTTATTGGGCGCTTAAGCATGTGGGCCCTGCCCTCTTACAGTGTGCTGTGAAATGTGGTTGACCTCTCGGGGAGGGTTTCTGGCCCCCTTTAGACCTTCCCATAGGACTGCAACCTCATCCCCAGGCAGAGGAAGTTCTTAGCGGCCTGTTAACATGCCTGATCTTTCACCTTACATGCATGGAGGGAATAAATTAGCCTGAGCAACCAGGAGCAACACATTTGTTAATGGCAGTTATTGGGGTCAATGAACGGTGTGCGTGATGGTGCTTTTCTGCACTTGTTTTGTTTGCGAATGTGCACACGAGTGGTTACATCTGGGCATCTGAAGTGTATTTGTGTGGTATACTCGTATGTTTAAGCTTGAGGGTATCAGCTTCCATTTTTAAAAGCTTGTTTGTGCATGTGGGTGGCGGGGCGTATGTGTATATACAACATTACATTGGAGCCGTATGACATACTGTATTTACTGTGTGCATTGTTAGGAATCTAGTGTAAGCTGCTCTGGCCTGTTATTATTTCTATTCCTCACTTTGAATAGCTGTAACTGTTTATCGCTATAGGAAAAAAAAAAATCACAGAACCATGACTATATAAAGGGTCTGTGGCTAGTTGCATGTTGTGTAATTATGGGATTGATGGGATGTATGGTGGCCCAACAATTATTCAAAATGTCTGCTCCACTATGCCATTTGATTTAAATACTTAAAATTTCACATGCAAGTCTCTTTCCTCGTGGGAAGGAAATGTGCCTCAATGACCTGAAGTTTCACCTTTTTTAAAAAGTGTTTTATATTGTTATCAAGAGATCCGGTGGATCTAAGATTTTATAAATGTCATTGTTGGAAGTGATTTTTATAAGTGCAATATTAAAATAGATTTATTGAGTTTCTGTGGATCTGAAAATTTAAAAAATAAGACTGTCACTGCAGTTCCAAGGACATAAATGATTTTACAAATGGCTGTTACTTATAAGTAATGAACAAATAAAGAACAAGTAAATCCATTTCATCTCTACATATTATTTATGTGTATTATATGTAACACAATATACAGTCTGCTCCGGGTGTGTGTTCACGGTGTGTGTGTGTGTTTACTACTCTGTGTGTGCACTTGGATGGGTTAAATGCAGAGCACAAATTCCGAGTATGGGTCACCATACTTGGCCACACGTCACTTCACTTTCACTTTCACAGTTTCACTTTCAAAAGTTTGGGGTCTGTAAGATTTTTTTAAACGTTTTTGAAAGAAGTCTTTCAGGCTCACCAAGGCTTAATTTTATTTGATCAAAAATACAGTAAACATGGTAATATTGTGAAATGTTATTGTGATTGTAACGGGGCTGACGAGACGAGAGGCGTGCGGATCCATGTGCAAGCTTTATTAACAAGAGAAGTGGTAAAAAAACACAGGCAGGGTCGAACAACAGCAAACAGGTATGGCACAGGCAAGAATTCAGCTGTATAAGTGCAATGGATGATGGGAACTGTAGTCCGGGGGTGACATGTAACAGTCTGTGTAGTGAGAGAGTCAATATGATGGACGAGTGACCTCTGGTGGCGATCGGATGGAAGTCCACGGACCGTTTTCGTGACAGAGATTTAAAATAACTGTTTTCTATTAAAAAATATTTTAAAATGTAATGTATTTCTGTGATGCAAAGCTGAATTTTCAGAAGCCATTACTCCAGTCTTCAGTGTCACATGATCCTTCAGATATCATTGCAATATGATGATTTGGTGCTCAATAAACATTTCTTATCATTATTAATGTTAAAAACAGTCATGCTGCTTAATATTTTTGTGGAATCCATGACACTTTTTTTCAGGATTCTTTGATGAACATAAATTTCAAAAGAACAGTATTTATTTGAAATAGAAATAATTCGTAACATTGTAAATGTGCATTCTTGCTGAATAAATCAAGCGTAGCGTTAGTTCTGACAGGCCACGTGAGTCAAGCTTGCGTCAGCTGACTCTCAGCTAATCCACATCTACCTATAAGAATACAATGCCTATCATGGCATTCGTATATAAGGTGTATTCAGTATTATTCAGCAGCTTTATCGCTTGCTCATGAGCAAATTACCCTCCTCCATCCCCAGCTCCACCTTTCATCACTTGGCTTTCTGATATTCCTTGTTTTCCCGAATCAGACTCATTTTATCTTGAATAATGTTGTTACACTAATATGTCATTAAGAACATGATATCTGCTACATTTGGTTCTGTTCTGTTTACCCTAAGGGGTTATCGGTGCTCTCCCTGCTCATTCATGCTAGGCTGCATGGATGGCAAGGAGTTTTTACCCAGAACATAATCATACCGCGAATCCAAACTGTATGCTAAGTGTCAATCATTTTGATTATAGTGGTCCTGACAGAAAAGTATTCTTTTTTTTCAGAAACAGAAAGTTTTTTGATCCCAAACTTTTAAATGGATATGTATGTTTTTTGTTTGTTTGTTTGAGTAAAAAGCTACATGAATTCAGTCTTTCATGCTCTGTGGGAGAGCTCAAAGTGATTTCTTTACTGGGCGCTGCTTGTTTATAGTCAAAGCAGTTGGATTTACAGGGTCAGGGACTGACGACAGACACCTAAACACTAAATCCGCATGTTGAGACTTACTGGCAGTCTGTACGATTTACAGCCTGTCCGCAATGACAGCGGCTTTCTGTAACACAAAAAACAAAGCTACACATTACTCCCCATAGTATAATATTTCAGCTAGCCCAAAATGGAAATACATTTTTGTGCATTCAAAGGACTGACTGGTACAACAGTTATGCTAGACTTTCCCAACAGAACGTCAAAGTATTTTTCTCAATGTGAAAGATCTTCAGGTGTTTTATAGAGTGAAATAGGCAGTAACAATGTGGCTATTCCTTTTGACTTTCACATTTTATTTCCTAGTTTCCACACCCATATGATTCATGCTGCTGCTATGCTTTTATGGACTCTCAGTAAGTCTCAGCACACCTTTGGGTAACAGCATGCCATAATTTTCTTAAACTGAGCCTGCGTGCTTCTCTAAAGGTTTGTCGTGCATCCTTATATTTAGTAGGTAAATTAGTTTCAATATAAAACACACTGTTGAAATGAAGTTGCATTGTCCTGGTGAGACCTGATTTCAGTGTGTTTACTTGCAATCAGTGCTTGTGCCCTGGTTATAGGTTTGAACCCACATTGACACAAACAACCCATTTGATTAAGACGCCAAATGCCAAACTCACATCTGGGACAGAGCGAAACTGAAAGAGAATGAGAGATACAGCGAGAGAGATCAAGAGGATGATGATGATGACAAGCTGTCTAAATGATAGCTTCAATCCATTCCTGCTCATTTGCGCTTTGTTTACTTCATTTTTCTCTGTTTTTGGTGTTTTTGTGAGAGTTGGTTGTGTGTTTGGAATGGATTGGTCTGGCTGTGGGAAAGAGCTGCTGTTGTAGCCTGTCTTCTCTGCAGCATGGCTGTAACCTGGCTCACAGATGACCTAGTTTCTCATGACCAGAAGAAGAAATCTTTTCCTTCTTTTGGGGAACATGCACACATGTACACTGGGGTCAAAAAGTCTGCAACCACATTGAGAATGTGTAATTTTTTCATTTAAACCTGGAAATAACCCAAATGTTGTGTAGACCTAGTGTGGAAGTAGCAAACGTTTTTCTGGTTACTGATGCCATTGTAAAAAATGCACTATTCACAGTCAACCATTATTAATTTATCTTTCTAAATGGTC